GTTGAATCTTCTGATTCACGTGAGGCAATATCATCAACGAGGACTTCAATACGTGAATCATCATGCCCGAGACGTTTATTAGCTTCTATCGCCGGTGTGTTTTGTCCACTACGTGTGATACCAATACGAGGAATGGGTGGTTTGCGAATGTCGGCGTCCATTTGAGGAAGCCAGAATGGCAAAAGAGGAACGCGACGACTTTCCATCAGCGTCGCAACTCCATGAATATACTTGGAAAACTTGTGGACGTGTTCGACCTTTAAAACGAGAAGGAATGTTTAGTGTCCGGTCATCAATAATTAGGTTTACGATCGTATGTCAGACTCTGAAGTACGACACGGTAATTGTATCAAAAGAGCAGATAATAAGTACATAATATACTTTTTTGGCTCGATATACATACCAAATGACTGTTCACCAACTCCTGCACCCATTCAGGCGGCTCCTGCCCTAACTGCGTCTGTAACTTGACTTCCAGCACCGCATACGGGAATCTCGTTAATTCCTCTTCGGGTAAGTTATCAAACGGATAATTTATTCCAATATCCATTCGTCTCCAATTGTTTCCGGAACGTCGCTTGGGATTATTTTCAAAATTATCTTCACGAATCATTGTGAGTTCTGTGTCGAGTGATATTCGTACGCGAGCATCGCCAGGGAGTTGAAATGCTGTGCGGTTGTAGAAAGTTCGAAGAACTGTATTTTGGAAAGTGTGCGTGTGTGTGTGTAAGTGATTGGTAATTCGTTATAAATATACTTCCAAATATGCCAAATAGCTTATTCCATACCTGGTCCGAGTTTCCTGCTCAATATGCTATATTGCACTTCCTTAGACAATGTAATAAGACTCTCAATTTCCTTTTCACTCTTGGCCTTTTTCTTTGCCTTTTGCAATGCCTTCTCCATGCTGTGTTCTCCTCTCAAATACTTATTCACGTATTTCTCCTTAATTGGGAATCTGGCCTTTACACTATTCTCTCCAGTCCAATCCTCTCGATGCGTCTTACGCTCTACAAAGATCTCCCTATTGTCCATGTCGCCATACCATCGTAACCTAATGGCTTCGGCTCCTTCATTCTTCTCGACCCTTCCAACATACAATTCGAAATCCTCATTGTCAAAGTAGATGCTGGAAATCGCCGAATCAGCCGGTTCAAATTCCTTGTTGGGGTTAAACACCAACACAGGCAGATGCTGGAGGATGACAAGCTTTAGTTCTGTGATGTTGTCAGGGTGAACCCAGTATTTCTTGGTGTTACGGACAAAGTTTTGCTGCGTTTTGCCTTGGGCACTGTTGCCTTTTATGGGATTACCTCTCGTGCGAACGATGTCGTAGAGTCGAGATATTTTTACGATCAGAGCGTCCTTGTTTTCTTTGTAGAAGGGCTTGAGATTTAGCCGGGCTAGGACCATTGGTTTGGCAACCCATTTCGTTTGTTTCTATAGATGTTATGGAACGGTGAGGGAATGTGAGCAAAATGCATAGTGACTTGTATAATGAAGCGTCGTTAATGGAATGTGCAATGTACGTTGTCTATTCCGGGTTTTATTCTTTACGTCCACCTTAATCTAACTGTTCGACGCAACTTGATATAACAACTTTCAAGTTGTCAACAATCTATCCAATTGATTAAGAGTAAGAGTGATGATGAATAGCTTACATCGTGCTTCTTTATTATCTTCAAGAAACCTGTGTAGTTCAATCTTGTGAATTTAGCCAGATCGTGAACATCAGCAATGATCAATCCTAGTTCATGCTCAATCGCCAAGTAATCATCCTCGGTTGTATCCTTTGACTCGGTTAACTCGGTTATCTGCTTCTCACAGTATTCTATTCGTCTAACGATTTCTCCCGATTTAACTGCTTGGAAATTGTACACTTTGTCGAGCTCCTTTTCCAAGAGCTCCATGAAATTGGTTTCGGCATCTTCGTCCCACTTCTTTCCGCGTGTGCCTTTTTTTAATTCTACTTTTAGACCGTCATAATCTAGATAGTAGAAGGTCCACTCTGGATATAGAGAGGTCTTGAGGTGGTGGCCAAACTTCATGACTTAGAGTGTTCGGTATGTCACGAGAATATTAAATACCTTATTGAGCTGTTGACTTACTCGAACAATTATTTTAGATCTCTATGACTATATTATTTAAACATGATTGATGTATTGTATGTCAAAGCTTATATACATCTTTGAGGGCGTACGTAGTGACGGCGTTCAACCTGTTGCGCAACAAACGCCACACTTACTGGACGAGTGGTTAGCAACAAGGAATACGCCGCGACCCAAAGAAATTTTAGGGAGGGGGGGGGAATGGTGTGACTGTTTTTCCAAAGAGTGACGGAGCATGTGAATTATACGAGGAAATACGAGCTTTAGACTTCTATACAGTGGATCAGTTTGTTCATGACGCAAAAACTTACTGGGATTTTTATTCGATATTTACCGCTCTATTACGGAATTATCGGTATCCATACATATTCTTCTTGTCCACACGCATTCTACAAAAACTTGAGTCACCCCATGTGCATTGTTAGCCGGTCTATCATTGGTCAATCTTTTTGTCAGTTAATTGTGATTGGATAATAAATTGAAAATTGATTGGGCGTCAATTTGTGCTCGAGTGGGAAAAATGAGATCGGACAAACAATTTGAACAATTGGGAAATAGATCTGAAGATCAAAGAAATCAAAGGACTAGTATGTCAATGCTGATAAATAAGTTATAAACAAAGATGATTATCTCAATGAGCATAATAATATCTCGGTTTATTATCTTACGCAAATGTAAATCTTATGCATTACTCGCCTTGTTTTTCATTCCGTTTTTACGATTACATTTGCAAGTTCGGCGATTGTCAATGTTTCGCAAAAAGTGCCAGATCTCGAATATATCACAAACAGTAAGTACGATAAACATTACGTCTATTGCTATTAACAGATTGAGATCTTTATCCAGTGTGCTTGACTGCTTATTTCTAATCGAGTAGAATTGCTTCCAACTTCTATCAGAATATTTACATTCGATAGTAATAGTGAACATGCCTTTTTTGGTTTCGTGTTCAAACAAACCCAAACATTAATACTACTTTTAACAATAAGGTTCTACTATAATATTTACCGTATTATGAATCACATGTCGAGTGACTCCTTGTTAAGTATCACATTATATTAATACAACCCATGATAATGAGTCCATAATAACGTGTATGATTTGTTCTTAATGATTACACGTAATTCCATTATAGTGCGAAATTTATATTTTCGACTTGATACAATTACTATTACTGTATTTCTCTGACTAAAGTACCCCGCGAGTAAAATACCCCTCAGCAGTTTTGGTAAAAGGCCTGGGTACTATTCTCGAAGAAATAAATATCATCTAGTAAAATATCCGGGGTATTATAAACAAATAATTTCATGCAAAGTACCCTAATTTTATTTGTCAATATTAATAGTCATCTACCATATATTCTCATTCTCATATAATATATCATCTTCATAAACGTCTCCATCATATTATTAGTTATATCAAGCACGTTATTCACATTTTCTTTCTTCTCCTCCAACTCAGTTGTTAACTCGTCTTCTACACTACAATCAAACATACGTATAATAATAAATGCCCTACATCAAAGTACTCCCTTACATCAAAACCCGGGGTACTTGAGTCAGAGAAATACGGTAATGTCGCAGCTGATGCTGAAATCTGAAACTAACCAATGGGGTTAGAGAATAGAATCTGATCAACCAATGAAAGATCATGGTTTCAGCTTCAGCCGGTCAACTCCCACATTAATTATACTAAGACAGTTGACGTGCCATGAAAAGTTTTGATAATAATGATGTGATTTATTTGTGTGGCACAAATTACAAAGTGTTTTTCTTATCTATTACTATCAATAATAGTAATGGGCGGGAGTACGTTTCTATGGGTAATAAGGAAGGACACACACGTTATGGGTAATAACACACGCACGTGAAATGAAAAATTTGATGAAATATACTCATTTTCTGAGTAAGGTTGCATAATAGCATAAACAGATTTTTTTTGTGATAGTAATGAAATAGCAACATAGAATATAAGTAGAGTGTTAGTTATAATGATAATAATAAGTCATCACGGCACGACAATAAACAGAAGGATAGACATGTTCAAAGTTACAAAGCGACCAAAAATCTTATTAAGAATTGATAAGCATGAACAAATATAGTAACAGAGTCAACGATATTTTTCATAAGCTGTAAATTATTATATTTTTTTATTTTATTAATTTTAAATAAAACGCAAAATTATAAAAGCACTGGCCATTCCTTGGAGGAGGTTATGGCAGTCGTTAGGCATTACTGTTATGCATTACCGTTATGCATTATGGGTCATGGCAGTCATTATGCAATGGAAGTCGTTATGACATTATGAATATAATATTAATATCAATATATTAATATATATTTATTTATTTAATACGTGTATAGGTTGAAAAAACGGTCGGATAAGATCTACATTAAAATTACGGAAAATGGGCAAGGAAAACGTAAAAAAGGAAAAGTACGTGCATGACGAAAATGCAATTAACGTTAACATAGCCATATCGCGACTTTTCTTTTATCATTCACCAAACTCATACGAAAACACCTAGACATGGACCAAATAGACGTGGACGCAAGAGTAATGACTGAAGGCGAGTTCTGTATGAAATATGGCAGAGAAAAGCCTGAAGCAACCTACGAGGAAGCACGAGACGAATACAGAAAATATATCGAAACACACGGTAAACAAGCAAGCGACACATGTTATTGGGAGGATAGAGGGTTCGTAGAGTAGCCATGGGGAGAATAGTTGAAATGCATTACGACTCGCGCGTTGGGAAGAGTATAGAATAGAGCGTTGTCGTAAAGGTTAGGTTATACGTAAACTCGTTGCAAAGACGAACTGGAGGAAACAAGAGATATATATGATTTAATAGAACAGGAGCAACGGAGAGGATAGTTTGAATGCTGTTACATGCGCAGTAGGCATAGAGTATAGTGAAGTTTAGGAGATATATTGCTTTCGTTTATATTATAAAATAGCTAGACATAATATGTCGCTTAGTTGGAATGCTGTTGGAATGAAAAGCTTCTGCATTTGATACTGCCTATGTGACGTTAACTAATGCCTTTTCCGTTTACAAACAACTGGTGTGGACGCCGTTTCTTGCACAGGCGGAGAGAAGTCTAACATACTGCAATATACACCAAGATTAGGTATAGTTGCTTCAGCGTTCTTTTGCAGGTTTCATCTTGAATCTTGAATTAATTGACACTTTTTTCTTTTGTAGGGGGCCTTGGTGGTACTAACTACCACTCCGATCAGGTTGAAGGAGGAGCCGTCAACGCCTATGAGGGCATTGATATCAATAATCCTGACATCTGTTCTCATGAAGAGACACTTCGGAAGCTGGTTGAAACTCTCCATAATGAATGTGTTCTGCTTGTACGATCTCCGCCCATGGCTGGCAAGACTTCACTGGCACAACTGTTAGAGAAACATCTTCTTCAAGACAATACTATACGTGTTTTTCATATTTCACTTTTATGGTTGAGACGAGTTGGTGAACCTTGGGTGTTTGAAGTACAATTTAAGAAACTAATGAATGGCACCAGTTGGGCTCAATTTGTGGAAGAGTGCAAGTTTATTAAGACATTCCTTATTGTTGATGAGGTGCAGGTATGAAAGATGCTATGAGGTGTTCTTATAATTTTGCGTTTTTTTGGTGGATTCTCATTAGAGAATTGGTAGGTACTTTATTCCAATGGACTTGGTGAGCCTTCACATTATGGTGGTGATGCCTTTTGGAATGTATTCAAGGACTGCCAGCAGTATGCTAATCTCTGCATAGTTGCCTTTGCGGTATATGGTTACTGAGGTGCCTGGGATGGCTCAGCATCCAGTGGCACAATGAATGTGTCTCCAATTATCATCCACCCTCAAAATACCTGGAGTTTAGAAGAGGTGTGCTTCACCAATGAAGAATTTAATGACTATATCTCACACTTCTGCAAGAAGTATCTTGGAAACATGAATGGCAATGATATTTTATGTCTTCAGTAATATGTATACAATATGACAGAGTGTCATCCAGGACTAGTTGCATTTTTTATGGGCAATATTCGAAATCAATTTAAACCACAAGTGAAATACCCAAGAGAGAGTGAGATGCTGACATGGGACAAGGTTTTCAAGTATTTGAAGTCACATGATTTCTGGACTACAGTAATGAATGTGAGTAGGTTTTTTCAGCTTTAAGGTTACATAATAACAAAGATTGTATCATCCTACTCATTGTTTTTGTTTTTTAGGGTGTCTGTGCATACACAAGCCTTGAGCATTTGAGTGATGATGAGAAATTGCTTTGTGATAATGTGTTTCGATATTCTGTTCATATCAGGGATGTCACAAGTGAATCAAGAAAGCATTTAATCAGAACAAACATGCTTGTTGAAAAAAATGAAAGACTTGAATTTGCTGCACCTTATTTGTGTATACTTTACATGCAGGAGTGCTGGGGATCTACCAACAGGGCAAGGGAAGTACCCAAGGATTTTAAAACCTTTCTCATTGACACCTTTACTGTCATGGACCCCCAAACACTACAAAAATCATTTGGTGTTGGTAAAGACAGGCGGCTTCTAGAATGCACTTGGCAGATGGAATTCTACCGGGCTGCCACTCAAGTCCTCCCCAATCATGTCTATATTTCTCCTGATGCTGGAGCAGATTTTGGTTCACGTGGATTTGTAGACTTCTATGTGGATGATGACTGAAACTGGGTGATTGAATTACTAAGAGACGGTGAAAGGGCAGAAGAGCATGAGAAGCATTTTGAATCAGATGGTATTTATGCTAAAATCTTAGAGAGTTCCAAGGAATCAGTAATAATTGATATTCGAAATCCTGACCTTTGTGATAATCCTCCAGCAAAGAGTGGTGGTAATTGGATGAATGTATATTGCCAGAAAGGATGGGGATCAGTAATAATAGAGTATGGAGGTACAAAACAGCTAGTTAGACTCATTGGAGGGAGGAGAAGTGAGTGATAATTTTCCCAATGATGAGATTAAAGTGACCCAATTAGTAAGCACTAATGATGAAAAAAAAATGATGTGAGCCAAGGAAATGAAGAATATTCCACTGGTCAATTAATTGCTTAGATTTTTTATTTACTACTTAGTACTGTAGTATCATTCTTACAATCGTGTTACACAATCAGATCAGAGCATGGAGAATTTCGGTCTCGAATAATGAATAAATTACATACCGATACAGTGCAATCGAATTTTTTCTATGACATGACATAGTTACGGTCTAAATTTAATAACAATGCTTTATTTTTTATTCACCGGATCGCTAAGCTTAGAAAGGAGAATATGAACGCTGTGTCGCTTCGCCAAAAGACTCCAATTCGATTAAAATTGAATCCCATATTTATAGTGTATATAATTGGTACGTCTGAAAACTACATATTAATACACGTATAGCACTATATTACATTAAACATATACATTTATAGCACATAATAATAAAATGGTTACTATTCAGGATTTATGCGGTTCTAAATGCACTAACGTTGAATGGACCGAATATTGCTGGATGCCACAAGTTCGCACCAACGAAACTCCTGGTGAGCGGAAAGAACGAATCTGGGCTCGTTTAATGTATTTCTGAGAAAATGATCTTTTACCTACCGAGAGTAAAAAATATTTTAACGCAAGAAAATTGATACGCTTTCAAGATGTGCTCCTACGATAGGAATAGCCATCTGTTTATCTTGCAACGAATTAGTATACACCAGAAAATACATTAAAATTATGAAAAATCTTCATGTACTGGTAATAAATTGGCAGATTAAAACGAAAATGAAATTTGGGGTCTTCTAGGATTCTCATTTAATACCTCTGAAATCCACATATTATTATGCTATAAATTCACTAATGACTTGTAATAAATGTCGTCAGAATATTCTTGCAAGTGAAAGACTTAGTCACAATCTTTATTGCACTCAACAAAAATAACAGCTACATCAATCGTTACATGTATGTCATATCGATCACGATATTACGATCTAATGCCCTATTTATCGATAAAGCTATCCAGTTGCAGTTGTTTGTACTTCGATGCAAGTTCGCCATTCGTTGGTGTAAATTTTTTTCTCCTTATCAAGACATAGTTGACGTTTCTGTGCATTCGTTAAGGAGATTCTTTTAATAGACCTACTGGTAAGCATTTCGTATAAACCAAGTGCTTTACACAATGCTAAATATCAGTTTTATACCCAATTTAAACCAACAAATCATATTAATATTGAGTTTGACCCCTCTCGTCCCATTGAAGCCATATTTCCATTATAGTGCGATTAATAAAAAATTCCATTATGGCTAATAACGCGATCTACTATAAGAATCTATTATAACGAGCAATTTTTAATATAAGAAAATTGTGTTCCAAAAAAAGTTTTCTTGTAATGCGATTCCATTGTAACATGTATCTGTTATAACGAGCCTCGACTGTGTGTCATATTCTTGGATCACATGCATTACTTCCAATGATATCTTTCGAAAGAATCCCCCCCTTATTCTATGTGCATCACTTACTGAGAGGCGTTAATGCATTTTCATACTGCTCAAGTTTCGGATAGACATTTTCGATGTCTGGTTTACATTTATGATAAACCCCAATTCTCACACATTATTTCTTAAATAATACTAGCCAAATGTGTTCGTCACTTTAGGAATTTATTAGTAACCGTACGCTATCTTATGTTTGCAATTTTAGCATCAGTCTAAAGCTAACTTAATTGACGTTATTAATCCATTACTGTTACTGCTGTAGCCTGATGAATACGCAACGATTTATAACCCAATATGGCCTCATTATTAGACTGCCGCAATGGACTTGGTTTAGTGTTCTGATCTTTATCATAAAGTGCACCATTGGCTGGAGCGGCTAAGAACGAGAATAGTAAGACGCGTTGAAGAGATTGCTCTTTTAAAATAATAAAAAATTATTTTAATAATAGGTTTATCGTTGTCATTGAACGGGAGACGTTTATTGCTTACAATATGATAGATAAGCGGATGTTGTATTTTACACCAAACGGAGAAGAATAGCTCGATTAAAAAGTCTAGTATTTTGTTATAAATAATTTAGTAGTGTAAGGTTATTATTTTAAAGAGTAGTCTTCTTCGGGTTAATTATGAGAGAAGGCCACAGAAAAATATCAAAGTGAGGGCATTATACGCTTAAAGTATTACAGTGGACTCTCCCTAAGTGCAGCTTCTCTAAGTGTAGCCATCATATTTTTCCCTCCCTAAATATGCAGGCTCTGGTTTGGTCCCGATAATAATAAATGCAAGCCGTGTCTGATTTGGCCATATTAATATGGTCCCGTCGGTGCTGCACTTAGGAGAGTCCATGTATAGTCTATTTAATATTCTCATTAAATTTTGTCCCCATGTAAATCAAAGACACGAAAACATAACACAAATCTATTACTATTACTAACGTAATCCATTCAAATACGATTTCGCAAATATCGTCAATCAGCTGATAATGATAATCTTCACGTGATCTAAGGGTAAAGTAGAAAATTTTTTGACTAGTGGCCGAATTCGGCGATTGGAATGTTAATGACAAAAAAAAATGACGCCCAAGTTGTTACAGCGACTAGTGTTTTCGCGGGTATCTCTCTCAACAATCGCAATTGAATCTAGGGCCCTAGGCGAATCTGTTGGGGGATCGTTTTCACAATTAAAACATAATAGAATACAAACACGGCCTATCCATAAACCTGCTGGTAGGATTCAGACGTCTTAAGATGAAAAGGGACGTCGTAAAAGTATACGCATTGGACAAACTGCCATCTCATATCGACACATTCTCGTACTCGTCACGTATTTCTTCCTACATCCTCTTTCCTAATATACTCCTATCTCAATCTTTCCCCTATGCACACTCCGACGTTCTCTCCTATCAGCCCTTTCTTCTCAGCCCCAAGAATTCGTAATAACAAATTCACCCTACGCGACTGAACCTAAAAAACGATATCGTGTAGTCGTTGGAGTAGTCCTCTCCCGTTGCCCAATAATAACCCGCACTCTCCACCCGTTCGAACGCGAATACTATAAATATCAACAGCGTCTAGAACAGGCTCGCGCAGCCCCGTTTCCGGTAGAGTTTTATTTTAAGAAGGGGAGCATTGCTGAGAAGAATTGGTTGGCTAAAGAGTCTGGAGACGGGGAGAAGAAGAAGAGCAAACAGAAGAAAAGTAGTGAAAGCCAAGTTGAGAGTAGTGAGATTGATACCAGCACTACTTACATCGAGGAGACGGGTTCGGGCGGTGATTTAGACGAGAAGATAACTATTGCAAGTAGGGAGACTGAGGCAGACCGAATAAATGATATGACATCGTTGGATCGTGCACTACAAAGAACGCTATATTTGATTGTGCGGAAGCCGCGAAAGGAGCATGCGTGGCAATTTCCTCAGGGCGGCGTGAATACTGCTGAAGGAGAGCTATTGCATCAGGTACATGGAAATTTGTCTGATGATAAAGAATCGCAACACGACATCTGATGTTGATCCGAATTTGTTTCTAGGCAGCTAAACGCGAGTTGGCCGAGGAATGTGGCGAGAATATGGACGTTTGGTTTGTATCTCGTAAACCAATTGGGTATTGCGCGTATGATTTTCCGGCTGGAGAGGGTGATGTTTACGATGGAGCAAAGGTTAGTTTAGTATGTTTGTTGAGTTCATCTTTGTGCACTCTGTCATCGTCATTTGCTACTACTTTTCCCTCTGATCTAGGTGTTCTTCCTCAAGGCCCATATATTCGCTGGACAGGCACGAGTCGACAACACAGAGATTGTTGAATTTGCTTGGGTAACTAAACAAGAGATGCAGAAATACGTGTCTCCTCAATATTACAGTTATGTCAAAGATATGTTGAATGATTTATAGATGAATAAAGCTGCGAATAATATCAAAAGACTTACTGACGATATGATCTTTTTGGAGGGGGCTGTGATTAAAATATTAACCATGCATTAAAGCCCCAACCCGTCATTAACGATATTATGAGCTTTTCAGGCGTGCGGCATCAAACATACGGCGTATATGCCAGTACTTCTATGTTAGCTTTCTAGCGTTTAGGCAATCCGCATGTGATGGAATGTAAACGATATTCTGGCAATTGGCTTTTTACGTGATGATTTCATGTTGTCTTCCTCTCGCGATACAGTCTTTCTTTCAGGTGAGAACCTTGTAGTGAGACGGCTGATGATTGAATGACTAGTATTGATGAACAATGGCATGGCAGTTCCACATAAAAAAAATTAACGCTGTTGTAAAATGAGCCTCGTGACGCGTTGAAGTTGGGTTACCATCTTGCATTGAGTGGAATTCATTGGCATTGCATATAAGTGTACGTCAATCGTGTAGTCGATTGCAAGTAGCGACAGCAAGTCCATTCTTCACTTGATCAACATTATCTTTTTGGTTATCCTAAAAAGCATACGAAATGTCTAACATTGGGTTTAAGCCTTCGCACAACTAAGTTTTGAAATATTAATTTGAAATAGAGAATAGATAATTTCCAACAAAGCAAGGCATTTCCTGCTTAAAAGCGTACAGCGTATAGAATTGCGTTCTTTCAGAGATACATTGTTTCTTTAGCTCAGATTCACAAGCTGACTCGTTGCATTATAGTTTCAATTGTAAAATTCGTGCCAAGGCCAGAATATAAATATACAACGTATTTATATAAACTTGCTTCTATTAATATAAAATTAGTCATAATTTCGGTAGATTACGCTATCATTTGCCAAGTCTTTATAAACACGATTGTTTGTGGTTCCCAAATCCGGAGGGCTTCTGTCAGTCTTTTAGCTTTATTAGCATTAGATAATTACTCAGAGTAGCCAAAACTGGAGGGATAGCAGAAGACTGCATTTGTTTCAAAGTAAAGCTTTACATACTTGACATTTATCGTGTGATTACTTAATTTAAAAAGCTGTAGTAGAATATTAATATTATTGATGCATCAAATTTCCCAACTATTAGAAATCGGAATACCACACTCGTACGGGCCGAATTTATGGCGACAACGTGGATTGATCCACATATGATACAAAAACGACTAACACGTGGAAGGTGTGGGCTTTAGAAAGAGATTTCTCAGAGAAATATCTAGGCAAGTAAGTCGGAAGAAGAAAAGATGATGGCGTCATTCATATGATTACTATTTAGTTAAAGATTAGTTCTTTATTTAGCTTGCATAAACAAAATAAATATATATAGATATGGGCTGTCGCCTGTGTTAGAATTAATTCCTGTCTGATGCGCACATGATTAAGAATGTTAGTATCAGAAATGAAGTAGACTTTCTGTAGTGAATATATTAAACTTATTTCTCGTAATAACTATAATCGTTTAAATCGATATCATTTGATTCCTCAAATATACAGTTCTAAGACAGATGGCTGGTATCATTTAGTCGTAATTCGGTTACGCTTATAGTTTAAAACGATCGAGAGGTGAAACATTTGTTGACTATTACTATATAAATGATAACCACTAAACAAATTAATCATTAACGATGATAACAGTCTTACGAACCTTGTGTCTCCCGCTTTTGGCACAAGAATGTCTCCCATTACACTTACCGAAAACATTTAAACGTCGACTTGTTCTCGATTCCCGTGGTTTGTGCGTTCTCAACCAAATAATATTATTAATAATATAAACTAATACATTTATGAATCACGTGGAACTAATAAAACCAAGATGCCACCAATTTCTTGACACCATTCTATCATTCTCAATTAAACATTGTAACGGAGTGACTGAACTTTAATTTTAGTTCTCGTTTAAATGTGCCCAGTAACAACAAAAGCTTAATTGAACTCGGCATTTACTTAAACGTTAACACTTAAATAGAGAGAAATTAAAACTGTAAAGACAAACACTTGCAACAAACGTAATGTGGAAGAATTGGTTCGATAAGCACTATACTGAGACACCTGCGCCTAGTCAGTTTGACGAAGAGGCTCTAGCAGACTATGTCAACACCAAAGTCATTTATCAAGCAGGTAGAGTATTAATACACTATGTATATGTGATACCCCCCTTCCCCCCACCCCTGGTTTATTCCCAGTTGCCCCCCTTAGCTGTGCAGCATTACTGGCTTTCATGAATTAGTATGCCTTATTACTTTCAATGTCTTCTTATCTCTTACTTGACATCCCGTTCTCTCTTCCAAATGTCTAACTATGGAACGAGCTAACGGAAACTATGCTTGTTTTCTAAAGGTGTTGATTTTGAAAGTAAACCTATGGTTGTCATTTGTGCTTGTAATCTACCAAATCCCAAGGAAGTAAATTATGATAAAATTCTGGGGTAATTATTGCGAGCGAAGATAAATTTTGCAATAGCATACGATATTAAATACTCCGACTCACTCCATTGTTCATTATCAGCCGCATCCTACAACGTCTTGACTTGTTCGTAGAAAGCGACTACTCGGTAGTGTTCTTTGCTGGCGGCGCGAAATATAGACCAGGGTGGTCATGGATACTTAGAGCTTACAGCAGCCTTGGCAGAAAGTAAGATTCAAGAACAGCTGGCTTGGGAGATGGACCTTTATTATAAATATGTATACTAATTTTCATTGTAAAAGGTACAAGAAAAATCTCAAATCCTTTTATGTCGTGCACGCGTCAACATGGACACGCCTAGTATTGGATTTGATGAGCGCCGTAATAAGGTGAGAATGTAGTTTATCTCAACCTGTCGATTCACTTATTACGCCGAATCTTATTTTAACAAATCACTATTAACAGTCCAAAATTCCTGCGTAAGGTTAAATATGTTAGTACGCTTTCCGAACTAGCGAAATATGTGCCGCTCACTCAGATTGACATTCCGCCAGTTGTGTACGAATACAATATCAGATATGAGGATAAGATAGCTCTCCCATCATCGCGATCGTATGATGAACATGGTCATTTGATGTTTGGCATACCAATCGAAGTATTAATGGGTTCAGCAGGAGAAAAAGGGATCCCTCGAGTCGTAAAAGAGTGTGTCGCTTATTTGAGAGCCAACGGCCTTTATACAGAAGGTGTGTTTCGACGATCACCAAACTCCATGTTCTTACGACAAGCACGAGAAGCTTATGACAGAGGCAACCCAATAAAATTAGAAGATTACGGAGTGCACACCGCAGCAGTCTTATTAAAAATGTTCTTCCATCAACTTCCTAAACCCCTAATTCCCTCCGATTTATACGATGTTCTCCGGCAGATATCGCAAAAACCGACGCCACTCGACCGAGTGGAATTCATCCGAAATAAAGTCTTTTCTTTATTCTCTCCTGCGACAATAATCCTCCTCCGACACGTATTTGCATTATTACGTGACATTGCAGAGCACCGAGAAAAGAATAAAATGACAGCGTACAATCTAGCGGTCATGCTTGCGCCTAATTTAGTGCATAGTGGGTCTCCAACACTCGACGTCAGCATGTGTACCATATCGCTCGATGACGAAAGAGTCGGCGGAGGTGTTGGTTTATTTGTTCGCAATTGCATCGAACATTTTGATCTAGTCTTTGAAGACGTCGACGAACCGAAAGAGCTCATCAGAGATGTAATCGAAACGGCTTCGTTCTCAACTTCGTCTTCCATGAGCGATTCGACCGAAAGTTCTGCCACAATAACATTGAACCATTCAGGGACGCTTTCATATTCGTCTCCTCCAAAATATCCATCGCTCCGTAGAATGAAATCGTTTGGAGCGTTATCATCGAATAGCGTGGATGTCAGAGTTGGTAGTGGAGTCGAAGTAGCTGGTGTTATGGCTCAGGGGCTAGTTAGTAGGTCTCCGCCGCCATATGCTTACAGAGATGAACCGAATTCGCCATTAAGTGTTAGTTCCCTTGAAGAGTTGAGACGAGCTGCGCCATGGGCCACTGCATAGTTTTTGTGACGTGTTGATCATGACGAGTCTGGGACTGGATGCCAAAATATTGGTAATTGTGTCAAGGAGAAGTAATATTATTTGTAAATGGAAAGATGAACATGATAGGAAAGCCAATTTTTTTATTCTTTTGTACTTAACCTTTTCCCCCCTTCTTCTCTGTATTAATATATCATTCGTTGTGTTTTTGTTTCAATCTGTAATAAATTTCACTGATCTTAATCTGACTAAAGAAGAACTATAAAGATGCTGCACGTGATTGACGATTTGGCAAATATTCTGCCTGCGAAAATGATTCGCCGAAACCATGCACATACAGTTTCATACTAAATGAGTAAATGATGCATGCTACGACAGAAACAAACAGAATTTTCACATGCCCTTCTCATATTTAATTTATGTGTCCAGAAAGCTCTTCCTTAAGCAGTGCTGTTAATTATAATTAAGTCGAAACACGATTCCAAGAATTGCATTTTAATTTGACTTGCTGAATTATATTATTGCTCATAGTCGTTGATGGGATATGTTAGCATTGTCATGTCACATGTAAAATACACTGTGTAACAAACGCTAAACAGCTCATTTGAAACGTCGAGTCTTCTAATTATTTAACAATAAAGTCAATATCCTTTCACAATAAAAAGCTCGCAGCGCGGTTTCATAGAAAGCATGTCAGGAACTTCTCCGCTCTGATTGCCACAAATTTAGTAATTTTTTTTCTGCTTTCATTATCATGTTCTAATTGATTTAAATCCCATCATTAAGAAATGACATGGCGTATGTTTAGGATCATTGCTCGTAGAATGCCTTTCCGATAACTATGGTTCTTTTAAATATCTCAAAATTGTCATACGAGATACGTTAGCAGCATCTAGCGCTAGTTGCCAAAGTTTCTCGGTGAATGCTCGTGCTGCGCCACACGTGATTTTTTAGGTCTTTACCTCTCTTATTATTATGTAAGGTTGTCAATTTAATTTTTCAAT